ATATCGATACGAGTATCGTTGCACCCCTAATAAATATATACATATACATAATGTATTGCAGTATGAAAGTACACTACAGTACAACAAACAACAAGATGAAGCAGGTATCCCACAGACTGTAGATAAAAAATGGACATCATGACATCACCCATTAATCAGATTTTTCAGATTTTAGATCTTAAGTTTATGATTATGGGTACTGCCGTAGTGGGCTTTTGCTTCAGGAAGTGAACATATTTGGTCAGCGGGTGGAATGCTGAAAGTTATAAGCTAATGCTAGTTTTCTTGGCTATCAGTCTGTATCCACACACTGTACAGGTTTATCACACAGACGCAGATACCTGCTAATCAGTAACATACACTCAGCAAACCTTGATCTAAGCCTTGGATTATCTGTTAGTACAGTGACCTTACAGCAGCCATGTTACTGGTCACATTACATCATTTAAAATGCTCCAAAAAGCTCCACCAGCACAACACTGGGTCCAGAGGCCCAGTTCATGGACTCCAATTAGCTGAGGCAAAGCCTAGCAGGCAGCTAGCAGCTACAGCCACCTGTGTCACTATCCACCTGTCAGCCAAAGTAACCACGCCCCTAATAATGCAAACTTAATATGATTTAAACAGGTGAGTTCTAAAAACAGATGTTAAGAAGGGCAAATTATCTACAGACACCAAACAGTTTGTGCATCAGGCTTTAAAAATGTTTATTTTTGGTGTAAAGTCTGTGGGGGCTGACGCACTGCTGCCTCTGCTGGATGCTAAAGGAACTGCAGGTTTTGGATTCTTCTGTCTGTTCCTGGAGGAACACAGATTGATGGTTAAGACTAAATATTTCCACGATTTTTTTGTTTTCAGATCATGTTCGAGACCTTCAACGTTCCTGCCATGTATGTGGCCATCCAGGCCGTCCTATCACTGTACGCCTCAGGACGTACCACAGGTTGGACCACACCTCCTACTTTCTCCTTAATCACAACCTCATCTTATTTTTGGTGCTGTACTCCTGGTCAAAAGCACCTCCAAGCTTCCTCACAGTGTTACTGGAGGCCAACTTAATGCCATCCAGAGTAAGAATCTGCTTAGAGACCATATTTCTAAGATTTTCAGGGCCGAGTACAACAACCTCCGTTTGATCTGAATCTGCATAGCAGCGAGAATGGCTGCGCTGTTTCTAATTATATTTGTTGTCACGGTGACAGATTGAAAACTGTGGGTTTAAAGGTTAAGGTTAAAGGTTATTAATCAAAGTTGTCCTGTTTCTCTACCCTCAAGGTATCGTCCTGGACTCAGGTGATGGCGTCACCCACAATGTGCCGATCTACGAGGGCTACGCCCTACCTCATGCCATCATGAGGTTGGACCTGGCGGGCCGCGACCTCACCGACTACCTCATGAAGATCCTGACCGAGCGAGGCTACAGCTTTGTCACCACCGGTAGGTCACGCCCACTTCCAGGTAATGTCAGAGTCACCTGTGATGATGTTTCTGACCCGGTCTGTCTGTCTGTGTGCCTGCAGCGGAGAGAGAGATCGTGCGGGACATCAAGGAAAAGCTGTGCTACGTGGCTCTGGACTTTGAGAATGAGATGGGGACAGCCGCCACCTCGTCCTCGCTGGAGAAGAGCTACGAGCTTCCTGACGGGCAGGTCATCACCATCGGCAATGAGAGGTTCCGCTGCCCTGAGACGCTATTCCAGCCCTCCTTCATTGGTCGGTCCCCCCTGCCTGTCTGTCCCTGTACCTGGTTAGAGTAGAACTCTGCTACTTAATAAAACACTGTTGAGTTTGCTCTCCTGAATACTTGATCTGATGTGTCCGAACATCTTCAGACCCAAAAAACAAAGACAATCAGCAGATTCTCCAATGCTGACGAGAAAAGCTCAGATTCGACTGATCGCTCCGTCAACGGGTCTTTTGTAACACCGATGGCTGTTTGAACCTCTCTAACCCAGCATCTGGTCCTCGGTCCTCCTGCAGGTATGGAATCAGCCGGTATCCACGAGACCACCTACAACAGCATCATGAAGTGTGACATCGACATCCGTAAAGACCTGTACGCCAACAACGTGCTGTCTGGGGGAACCACCATGTACCCGGGAATCGCAGACCGCATGCAGAAGGAGATCACCGCTCTGGCCCCCAGCACCATGAAGATCAAGGTGAGGCTTGACCTCACTGAGGCTCACTCACATTCAGCAGAAAGTTAGTTAACTTTTGACCCCTCTCTCTCAGATCATCGCTCCCCCGGAGAGGAAGTACTCGGTGTGGATCGGCGGGTCCATCCTGGCCTCGCTCTCCACCTTCCAGCAGATGTGGATCAGCAAGCAGGAGTACGACGAGGCCGGACCCTCCATTGTCCACCGCAAGTGCTTCTAAAGGCTGCGCCCGGGCCTTCAAGCCCCGCCCCCCCTCCTTTAGCACAACGTTATTTTAGCCTGCACCGAGCACCCGCTAACAGACCCCAGATCAGCCACCAAAATCAGGCCCGCAGGGACGACAGGAAGTCAGAGAGCGCTCGACAGCGTTAACCTCAGAGGACAGAAAGTGATGTCATGTTTGTTTTTGAAGAACTTCCAGAAAGTCAAACATCCTCCCTCTCTGCTCACCTTCAAACTGTGAATGTCCCGCTTGCCCTCTGCAACCCCACCACCCCACATTCCACCTGTGGCCCCGCCCCCTCTGAGCTCCACGTTGGTGCTGTTTCCTGTCAGAAAGTGCGTTTTTATTTTTGATGAATAAAGCTTGAATGTTGCCCGCTGGTGTCGTCTTCTATCGATCACATTCACGCGGCGCTCTGATGATGTCACACGGTGTATGATGATGTCACTGCTGTTGACCTGTGGGTAGGTGTGACCTCGTGGTGCTATCTGTTTTAGTAACATTTGACAAGGTGGTGATGTGAACGTGGAAGTGACGGTTGAATGAACCCAGGAAGACAATAAAGCGCTCTCATACCTGAACGGCGTCGCTCTTTTATTTCACCTGAGCTGAACCTTGTCGTCATAGCAACCAAAGCTGATTAAGAGTGAAGCAGATAAACAGTAAAACTGAAAATAAGTGAACATTACTGAACTCAGCAGGGGGAACAAGTCCTGGGGATGTACTGCCACCTGGTGGTCCGTGCTGGAACTGCAGCTGCTGACAGTAAAGATTTAAACATTTCAATAAAGCTTTATTAAATAAGATAAATCAAGTGGACCAGTGTGGCAAAGCCGTAATGATCTGTTTGGCTGCTGCAGCGCTAAGAACAGCGTTTTTAAACAAGAGCAACCGACGCTGCTCACAAACACCCTCGCCACTTCCTTTCCCCGTGTCTTCAGATTGGAGGGCCTCCTTGTCACGCCTGAAATCCATTGTGGGCTCTTGTGTCTTTGAGTATTAGTGTCAGGTTGCTGCCATCACACCCCTCAGTCAAACACCAAATGCTCGAATACTTTGTAGCAGGAGGGCTCCAACCATCGCCACCGTTTAGTTTCTGTCCCACAGAGCCGCAGTTAGCGTGCAGAAATCCTCCAAACATAAAGTGAAGCGTCAGCCTGCAGATGGTACTGCGTCTTTCTTTTTCCTCTGAAAGCAAGTTTGTGTGAGAAGTTAAAGATCTGAGCAGTCTGTGGGTTTGAGTGGGTGGAGCGATCAGTTTCAGACACTTAATCAAAAAAACAGACGCATACGAGTGCTGGAGCAGCAGAGGGTGTTTTATTACCAAAAAGTTAAAAACAGCAGTCAGGTCACAGTTTGTCAAAACGTCATCAGCAAAAAACAGTCACACAACAGCTCGACAAGAAAACATCTGCTGGTGCACACACTGAGAAGTCCTCCAGCTGCGGGCGCTTTGAACGCACCACGAGAGAAACATCAGAAAATAATTTCATCTGCAAGAGGTTTAAAAGGGCCCGCTTTACACGACACACACCGCCTTCACCTGAGCCTGCAGCGCCCCCTGCTGTCTGCCACCCCTTACATGGCACCCCACTCGAGGTCAAAGGTCAGAGTAGCTTATGGCGTGAACGGTCTCGCCTAAAATGACAGAGTGTTAAGAGTCTCCTCACAGTTTCACATCTGCAGCAGCGAAGAGACTTTCCCCTTTGATCTGAGACCAAACCTCTCAACACTGAACCGCCACAGCCAATCAGAGTGTCAGGGAAGCTGCCTAACAGGAAGTAAGGTCACAGCCAAGCTTGGTGGATATCAGCTGACTACCGGGGGCGCCTTAGCGCTGCGATCAGCGGCCCAGCAGGACGGGTGCGGCCTGACAGGCAGGACTCGGGGCAAAGATGCAGGGCTCAGCAGCAAAAAAACAAAACAAAAAACACCAAAAATTAAAAGTGTTAAAAGTTTCCTGTAAATTCGACATCACAACGTGTCGGCGAACACCGGCGGTGCGTTCACAGTTTCCTCTTCAGAATAAAAACCTGCCAGTGCTTCCTGTCTAAACCCTGAAGTCCAGCAGGTTAAGCCGCAAGTCCCTGAACACGACGTGTCTGCACACCTGAGGGGACAAAAGAGGAGGGGTTACAGGTGATTCAGAGTCGGGGCTGAACACAGCACGCGGTATCCTGACGATGACCTCGGCGAGGGTCTCACCGTGAAGAGCGGCGGCTCCTTGGAGTGAGGATGGAAACCTTTCAGCTTGCAGGCAGAAACTTCGGACATCCCCAGGTCGGTCAGCCTGAACACACCTGTGCTGGGGGGGGAGACGGGCGGAGCGACGTTAGCGGGCTGAAAGGCCTCGTGGGAAATCGGCATACACGCGTGCTCCAGTGACAGACTTACTCGTTGTGTTTTGGCGCGCAGACGATGGCGACAGCTTCCGGCAGCATCAGCTGATATGAGCAGTGAGTGTGGAGGTCGACGCTGGACAGGAAGGCCGTCTGAGTGGGATGAGTCTGAACACAGAGGTCAGAGGTCACACACTGAACCACAACCCTGACTGAAGTGACGCGTGCAGAGTGAGACCTCTCCCTCGCTCGGCTCATCTGTTGCTCGACTGCAGGCACCGTTTCCATGGTGATATATGATCATGTAAATGAAGGAGAAACACTGGTTTTGTCAGGCGCGTGTGCTCGCTTACAGCACTTGTGGGGACTTGATACTAAACCACTCACCAAAAGAGGCCCCGAGTGAGGAGTTTGTGAGGACATTAACCAGACAGCTAACGTTACAGTTTATTTTAGTGTCACACTGTTTCTGTTCTCACAAACTGCTGTTGCTACGAAGAAGGTTAACTGCATCTCTACAAGAGCCAATCATGGAGCTCCAGGACCTCCTCCAAGCCCCTCCCCCCAGCTTGCATGCTTACGTGGATCCAGCCCAGCGTCAGCAGGTGATGCTCATCCTGGAAGCTGAACAGCTCCTCCACGTTCTCCATGTCGCAGAAATCCGGGCCGGCGGTCTGTTTGGGGACTACGACGTGAGTCAGCGTGAACTCGTTGTGCGTCTGAGAATGAGAGAGAGGCGGGGCTTGGCTGGTGGTATATGACTGAAAATGGGCGAGGGCGTGACAGGACGTGCGTTTCGCTCACCAGCTGTCCGCAGAGGACGCCGCAGGTCTCGATTCCTCTGGCCGTGTTTGACCGGGCCAGCGACAGGAAACTCTGAGTCAGGCCTTTGGGAATCAGGACTCGCCTCAGGCCCTCCACCCTCTCACCTATACACAAACACACCTGGTTTAAGAGGGCGTAACGTCTCCGTGGAGGTCAGATTGAACCTGCGTACACGCAGGTATACGGAGTGACTGTGTACTGACTCTGTACTCCAGCCAGCGTGGCGGCGGGTTGGCTCACAGGGGCAGGCGGTCTGTTTCTGTTAGGGTCTGCCCCCTGGGATCGTATGCTGTTTTTGATTGGCTGCTGGGACAGACGGGAGCCGTCCGTCACCTCAGGCACTTTAGTCTGAACCTGCAACACAAACATGAAAGACGCAGTCAAACTACACAGTACTCAGTAGGCTGGGCCAGTACACCAGTACTTCACAAGCCAATCTGTTAGTAGGCAGGCTAACGTTAGCTCAGGGTGTAAAGCTGGTCGACCTTAGCTTCCCTGCTAACACCAGCTAGCTGGTTAGCTTTAGCTAGTTCTCTAACGTCAAAATGAGGCACGAGTGTTAGTTTGTGTTGAGCCGGTCATTTACTGGACTCTTTGCAAGCTAATGTTGGCTAATGTTAGCTAATGTTGGCTAGTGTTAGCTAATGTTGGCTAATGTTAGCTAGTGTTGGCTAATGTTAGCTAGTGTTGTCCGTACATGAACGCTGTCCTGCTGCCAAAGGCACTGCAGTATGAAACAAAACATCGACGCAGCTTCCGGGTCGAGAAGACTAAGCCAGCGAGAAATTCCTTAAACCTGTACTATGAAGAATACGCTACCTTTTGCTCCGCCTCCACTCCTCTCTTATTGGCCAGCTCCTGGCGTCTCAGCTGGTCCTCGAAGTAGCGAAACTGTTCCGATTCAATCTGCATGCGTCGCAGAGCGGCGACGCGCTGCCTCTCCTCCTCCAGCAGCAGGAACCTTCTCCTGTCCTCGTCCAATAGGGACAGCTGCTGCAGCTGCTGGCCACACCCGTGCACCACGACCGCCGCCTGGCTCTGAGGAAACAAAGATGAGCTTGTACAGGTGGCTGCGGCGAGTTTACCTAAAATAAACGACGTGTCACACGCTAACCTTCACCTGAAAGACAGGTGGGATGGACTCACCGCGCAGAGGCTGTTCCCCTGGATCGTTCCCACACCGAGCGCTCCTCTGATCAATAATCAATACTGTGAAAACTCACTCACCTGGGCTCTGAGGTATTCGCTGTGTTCCCTGCTGTATTTCTCCTCCAGGCGCTTCTTCAGCTCGTCTTTACGGGGAAACGCCACCTCCTGAAGTTTCTGCACAGACAGAACAGGTCACAGCAAAGACACCAGAACCAGGTGTGGTTCTGCAGCAGGAACAGCTGGAACAGGAACGGCAGCTGGAGCACCAAAAACAGCATAACTTTACAGAGGTCACTCTGGGTCCACCTGGACTCAGGAGGAGGATTCATGATGTAGGGCTGGCGTGATGGAGGGGGAGGGGCCAGATGGAGGCAGTCCTTCACAGCCACAACAACAAGACAAAGATTTGAAGTCTGGTTTAAGGACTGGACACGTTTCCAGCGATGTTTAACTACGTCCGCCTGTGCTCCACCTGCACTCATCGTGTCGCCTACTTAGAAACATCACATTTAAGAATAAACCAAGGAAACGCTGACACACGCGCTCAAAACAAACACAGGAAGGAACAAATACGACGAGACGGGCGGAAACGGTCGCCCTCGCCCGCCATCTCACAGACCGATGCCCAAAAATTCAACTTTTAAAGTTCAGTGAAATCCAGCTGTTACGTTTCTGCTCTTTAAGCTCCAGCTGTGGCAACTGCACGAGTTCCAGATGTTTCCTGATGTTTCTGCTGCACGATCAGTTTTCTAGAATCTTCCAGGGATGAAAACTTTCGTGTTTCTACCACGACAAAAACGGTCGAGACTTTTCTGACGCAGCCGTGAAAGCGTCAGCATCAGGACAGATGTTTCCACACGACGGCGGCGAGCCTGCTCGCAGCGACCAGCGCGGCACTTTTAAGCCAGCTGATTAACGAACAAGTATCTGTTTCAGCTCCAACCTGCCAGACACTCTCACCTGAACACTAACGCCCCGCCCACCAGCTTCAGCCAACAGGATCTCAGTCCAAACATCCCCGAGCACAAATCGAGCAGGAGATCTGGAAACTTCATCCTGCTAACAAACCACAGACTCGACGTATGAGCCAGATCTGTGTCACAGCGTTTAATCCTGGTTCAACTCTGAGCCTGACTTTTTTAAACTACACCACATCCCAAGATTAAAAAGATACACAGCCCATGGTTAGTCCGGCCTGAAGCCTCAGCTGAAGCCTCTTCATGGGCAGAATCGATGCACCAAAGGTTGTTAAGTACCAAGAAGAAACAGGCCCATAGATCTGGAGATTTGCTAGCGTGGAAAACAACTCAGACAAGAGCGACAGACTGAAGGCTGCTCTGAGAAAGACGAGCATCAGAGCGCTAACAGAAGCTAACTGTGTTGTCCACAAACTGCTAACGACAAGCAGCCTGGAGAAAATCTACCAACGTCTGAGGACAAACCACCACATCTCAAATGATGAGTTACAACCATCGAGCCAGATTTTAAACCAGCATGGCAGCAGGAGCTAGCTGGATTCAGCTGGAGCTACCTGGAGCCATCAGAGGCCAAAGGAAGCTAACAGCTGCTAGCTGGAGCGACCTACAACACTTACAGGAAGAGGTGAGGGGAAAGCTGCAGCACAGCGAGCAACAACCTGAGCAACAGGAAGCTGGGACTGATAACACACAGGCTGATTGGGTGATTGTCTGCAGCTGGTGGGGAAAAAAACAAAGACAGGAAGTAGAAGTGGCTCAAGAGCAGGCAGGTGAGCGTCTTCAAAATAAAACAGGAAGTTCATAACGATTGTTACCTTCATGATGAAGTGTTTCTCGGGGATGGCGGTGCACTGCTGGTAGTCTCTGTGGGCGGGCAACTTCTCTACAAATAGACTGAAAGACAGCGGCCGTCACATCACATGCTGTGCGAAACACCAAGCAGCCCCGCCCCCAACGCCACTGAGCCTCACGTGATGAACTTGGTGTAGAGGACGTAGGCGTTCTCCAGGCTGCCCTCCTCCAGGTAAACCGCCGCCATGCGCTCCATCTCCACACCCGAGCGGAAGTAGCGTCTGGGCGCGATGTCCTCGTTGATCTCCACGCAGCATCCCATCTTCCCCAGCGCTCGGACGCGTTCCGCCGCCGTCAGCGACACGTCTGTGTAGTCGGGCTCTGCCGCCAGCTTCTTCTGTGGATGAAGGTGTTCGTCAGAGAAGAGCAAAGATGGCAGCAGCCTCTAAAAACATCAACATGAGTGTTGTGATTTCAGTTTTGAACTGTCATCGATGCTCAAAGCGACCCTTCAGAGACCCGTGTCCCTCAGAGACCCGTGTCCCACAGAGACACGTGTCCCACAGAGACCCGTGTCCCTCAGAGACACGTGTCCCTCAGAGACCCGTGTCCCTCA